CACTTTAGTGTCAGAAATAAACTTCGAACACTTATGAAAATCACACTACATTTCTTCGTGCTTTAATTCACTTTTATCTTCTTCTTACTTCAGCCTTTAATATATATATTTTTCTTTTTGGAATTCTATTACTGTTTCATCTGGTATATAGTCAGTAAGTAACTCCTCCAAAACATTTACGCCTCCACCACCACCACCAGTGACTTAGCGGTAAGTCTGCAGCCTTACAATACCAAATTCTAGGTTAGATACCAGCGATTAGCAGAGCACAGACAGCCAGCCCATTGGGTATCTTCTTGGTTAACAACAACTAAAATCAAACCAAAACGTTTCCCGATGATAATATGTTTTTGTCCTCTGTTAAATGCTTAACAAAAAAACGTTAAACCAATCTGTAAATTTCGAACTTGTATGTAATTTCGTCGTGCAGGAAATTTCTCGTGAGAGCTGTTAAAAATTTAATTAACGCTTCAGTGAAGTAGCATTTTTGGAAAGTCTCTTCCTTTGCTGTTTGTTTCAGCTGTGATGTTTATCAGCTTTACTTTTATCAGGCTTCATCATGATCGCGGGGTTTTCACCGCCGTAAGTAATTGAAGCTCCATTTGTGGGCACTGTTTATGAGATTGTTTGTTTTTTATGACGCTTTGCGTTTATGAATACCACTATTAATATAAGGATAGCACAACAGGAACCCTCCTGTAGCTATTAAAAGCTTGTTTTTTAATCCAATTAAATATCCACTATAGTTTGGTTAAACTGGCTGTATTCTCTTATGGAGCCCACTCATAATTCAAAGCACGATTTTCAGTAAAAACACTTTTTCCGAGAGCCTAGGATAAAAACAACGCTCGCTCTGTACCTCTCTGTTCACGTGATCACGTCTAATAAAATGTCAGAATTTATAATAATGTTTGATGAAACATTACAGAATTAAAAAACAAGAAGAAGAAACAAATGTTTATATTTTTTCACAATTGCCGAAACACGAACTCTTTCTTTAAGCATGTTAATCCATCTCTGAAGATAGAACTATTTATTGAGGCGGGTTATCCTTCCCCCTTTCGTTCACTCCTAAAGAAAGATACGTGTGTGTGCGTCTTTTTATAGCAAAGTCAATTCGGGCTATCTGCTGTGCCCACCTAGGGGAATCGAACCCCCGATTTTAGCGTTGAAAATCCGAAGAAAGAAACACTACTTATCAATTTGCTAAATTTGTGTTCATTTCTACTTGCCCCTCCCCCCAGTAGCACGGCGATATGTCTGCGGACTTATTATCCTAGAAACCGGGTTTCGATACCCGTAGTGGGCAGAGCACAGATAGCCCACTGTGTAGCTTTCTGCTTAACTACACACAAACAACCATTTCTACTTTTCTTTTCTAAATGGTGTTTTTTTTTCAACATAATTTTAAAACTTTAAATATAAAATAAAAAAATTGTTTAGGGTTTGAAAGTGAATATCGTTAAGAGATTTTTTTACTACTCAAGCGACAAGTGTACTGGATATTTTGCTCAGGCTTCTTTAATAAAAAAAATACATACTTATAACACGTCAGGTAACACAAGCAATATCGGCAAATTATATCTAAACACCTTGGCGTGAAGGAAGAACAGATGGGTTAGCTAGTTGGGTGTGGTCGTCAATACTCGTAAAAGTGTGTTCATTTTGTTTCTAGCTCTGGGTGTGGCCCATTCAGATCCATTATTTATCACTCTTAAACGTGCCATCTTTTATTGAAGAAACATATATCGAAACCACCCACGCACACATCCTTAGCGATTAGTCCTCTGGGTATTGCTTAAGTATTAATGCAATTATTGAGATGTTTAATAATAGAGAAGTTTAGTTATCGTACAGTGCCCTTATTAAGAAATAACATGATGCATGAACTAATGTTTATCATAAATGAATAAATCTAATCCGTTCAAGCTGTCTATAAAACAGCACGAGAATAAAAAAAAAGCTTCTATTATGAAAGTTTTGATAAAATTAAACAGTACTTTATTACGTGAATTGTGAGATAGTTTAAATGGTAAAAAAAACCACTGATGTTAAGAGAGCTAATATCTAATCATTTATGTTAAGAGAGCTAATATCTAATCATTTATGTTAAGAGAGCTAATATCTAATCATTTATGCTAAGAGAGCTAACATCTAATCATTTATGTTAAGAGAACTAATGTCTAATCATTTATGTTAAGAGAGCTAATATCTAATCATTTATGCTAAGAGAGCTAATATCTAATCATTTATGTTAAGAGAGCTAATGTCTAATCATTTATGTTAAGAGAGCTAATATCTAATCATTTATGTTAAGAGAGCTAATGTCTAATCATTTATGTTAAGATAGCTAATGTCTAATCATTTATGTTAAAAGAGCTAATGTCTAATCATTTATGTTAAGATAGCTAATGTCTAATCATTTATGTTTAAAGAGCTAATGTATAATTATTTATGTTAAGAGAGCTAATGTCTAATCATTTATGTTAAGAGAGCTAATGTCTAGGCTGTTTAACTATATGTTTAAAATATTAAAAATTATAATTTATATCAAGTGAAAAAAAAACTATTGTACAAAGAGCGCACAGGAAAATCCAACAGGTTAATAACCTGTTGCAGTTATGGGCTTGTCCTAGTTTTTTAAAAAACAAAAAAAAATTGTTGCATATTAAACGAATTTTGTAGATTTATTTTGACTTGTTTTGGAATTTCGCGCAAAGCTACACGAGGGCTATCTGCACTAGCCGTTCCTAATTTAGCAGTGTAAGACTAGAGGGAAGGCAGCTAGTCATCACCACCCACCGCCAACTCTTGGGCTACTCTTTTACCAACGAATTAACAACAGTACACAGAGACTATTTATAAATACATCATCTATCTATCAACAAACAACAGTACATAGAGACTGTTGATAGATAGATGATGTATTTTAAATTAACAACAGAACACAGACTGTTGATAGATAGATGATGTATTTTAAATTAACAACAGTACACAGAGACTGTTGATAGGTAGATGTGGTATTTTAAGTTAACAACAGAACACAGAGACTGTTGATAGGTAGATGTGGTATTTTAAATTAACAACAGAACACAGAGACTGTTGATAGGTAGATGTGGTATTTTAAGTTAACAACAGAACACAGAGACTGTTGATAGGTAGATGTGGTATTTTAAATTAACAACAGAACACAGAGACTGTTGATAGATAGATGTGGTATTTTAAATTAACAACAGAACACAGAGACTGTTGATAGGTAGATGTGGTATTTTAAATTAACAACAGAACACAGAGACTGTTGATAGGTAGATGTGGTATTTTAAATTAACAACAGAACACAGAGAATGTTGATAGATAGATGGTGTCTTTTAAATAAACAGTTGACCGATAGTGGTTGTATGTTAAATAAACATCAGCATAGACAGACTGTTCTTAGTTAAATAGATAAAAACATAAACAGAGAGACAAATATATTCTACTACATTATCAGACTGTTCACAGACAACAGTAGTTTACTAGCTAGATAATTGGGCAGATACCCATAGTTTACGCATAGCGGTAATGTATGCGGACTTACAACGCTAGAAACCGGGTTTCGATACCCGTGGTGGGCAGAGCACAGATAGCCCATTGTGTAGCTTTGTGCTTAATTAAAAACAAATAAACAAATTTCCCATAGTTTACTAGCAAGATAACTGGACAGATACTCTGTACCAACGAAAAGTGGGATTGACCGTTACTTTATAACGCCGTCACGGGAGAAAGGGCGTGCGTGTTTGGTAACGGAGACTCGAACCTGGAACGTGCAGATTTCAAGTCTAGCGCCCTAACCACCTGGCCTTGCCAGGCCAAGTTATATTATCTTTGTCGGTTTAACAAGTATTATACATCAATATTTAAACCGGGTAGTTGAAAAGGGGGCACATTTTGGTATTGTTTCATAGATTCGATTTTTTTTTTCCAGTTTGCTGTTCTTATTAGTTCTAACAATGAAAATTCTTTGTATCATAAGTCGTGTAAAACTGTGTATATCCAGCTTCTGATGACACGGTATAACACCTGGTCTCAAACATAATTTTAGGGACACACGTGAAACATTACCGAAAAACAACACGTATTCTATTATTATTGTTGTGTGTTTTTGGCGTCATTCAACAAATTGGAAATTTAATACACCTAAACAGACTGCTTTAACGACTCATAAAAACATTCACATTACTGTCACGTAATTGGTGGGTTGATCTTTAGGTGCACTACAACAAGTAGCATGAATAGAGAATATGATAATGATTAACAATCAGTTAAAATCTGTAAGATTCTAAGAGATAAGCAGTAACTACATCCCAGTATAGAGTAATGGTGAATACTTGTGTAATATCCTTATTAAAAACTTTATAATATGCATTGTGTATGTGTTGAAATGATGCATAAAAAAAGTTATCATGCATTGCGTTTCTACTCGCCAGGTGTCGCTTTCTTTATTGAAGACAAAATCTTTGACTTAAGTGTCAATTTGGGCAACTGGGAAGGTATGATTCATGGAAAGGAGGGGAGAGGGGGTTCATATGAAATAACCCTTTCCACCGGGAATGCCATTGGATGTTGTCGTTTAAGTAAGTTTATTTGTTTGTTTGAAGTTAAGCACAAAGCTACACAATGGTCTATCTGTGCTCTACCCGGTTTCTAGCGTTGTATGTTTATATAATTTCAAGTTTAGGCATATTGTTGACAAATAAGGGTTGTCTATTAACAGGTATGTTTGGAGTATTATATCAACAGTGTCAAGACAAATGTGCTAAATTTACTATTTAATAATTAGCAAAACAGAAACAGTTAGCAACTTGTTTTAGCCCCAAAATTAGATTATTTATAAATTATTTCTGGAAAAGAAGTACTTATTCACAGGATGTTTAATTATTTTATTTTTTTTCGTATCCCAAAATGACATTCACTTCAAATGATTTTCTGTAAACAAATGTCTTGAAAGAAGTGGTACTCACTCTCCAGATGATGTAGTAAATGATGATAATCTTCGCCGATCTCGAGCGTGTGGGTCACCATCCCAAGTAAAAGGTGAGGATCCACGACGAGGGGAGTGACGTGATCGCTTTCTTCGCCGTTCGCTAGCCTTGCGAAACAGGAGAGCTTCCAGATTCTCCTCATCCGAGTCGTTTAATTCCATCTGTTAGTTTAAATAAAATATTATGAAATGTTACGCTCCACTTGACTTACTTAATACGCTCTATTGAAAACGTGAAGATTGTTGAAAGTGAACAGATAAAACTTTTTAAAATGCCCCTAATAATAAACGTTACATTTAAAAATCGTGGTGTACCGTTTTTAATATCCAATATATATATATATATATGAATATTTGTATATAAATAACATATCTTAAAATATGTGCATTAAAACCAGAGCATTTATACTGAAAAAAGAAAATATAAGAAAGACAGATGTGCCATTTTTTGTGAACGTTAAATTAGGCTTAGAGTTTGTACTCACGTTTGCCTCCCGTGTAAATGTTTTTAGCTATTCACAAATATAGAGAATCACGAAGTGATGCCTAGGAGAGAGACTCTTATATAGCGAGTGTTTCACAAACTCCGCCCGCATCAGGGTGGAGTCTCAACCCAGGTAATCATGTATATCTCCCCCCACCTTGGTCTATACCACCGATGTTCGCTGTCATTTATATCGTCTAACACTAGTCATTGTATTAGCCAAGTTCGTGCTACTTCATTTAAAGAAACCCATGCTAGATTATTCGCCGGAAACCTAATTTGTTGGAAACCTAATTTGTTATACTTCTATTATCAAAGTGCTCTCTCTCTCTCCAAGATAACGTTACAAAATGGATAAATGTCCATCAGCTATAAAACAAAAAAAAAACATATTAACGCTAGAAAGTCGGATTGATCTATGCTTTTAACATTATGAACGTACTTGACAAATTACACATACATAACTCTCGGGTGTTGGGGAGTCTTTTCTCAGAAGAACTTTTGAAATAGACCACTTCTCGTTTAGTTTGTTTCTAATTAGTGAGAATTTTTAAACCTCTTTCATGTACATCGTTATTTTTTCTTTTCTTTTTCAATGGGGCTCATCAAACATGTACATAAAGTGTCATAAAGGTTAAAGGTTACAACACGACATCTCGTTGTATCTTAAAGTGGTTGAGTTCCCAAAACAGAACTTGGTTTATGTCGAATTTTGTACAGTATATAGCAAAAAACGAAAAGTACCCGAAGAACGGTTAAGCACAAAGCTACACAATCTTTGATTTGCCCGCCACGGGTATATCGAAACCAGAGTTTTAGGGTCGTAAGCCTGCAATCTTACCGCTGAACCACCGGGAGGCGGTATTCCGGTGTGTTACCAAATTCTGTCAATTTAATCGTAACTCGCGTTCGTGTGACGTTTTTTTTTTATTATTTATTCCTGTAAACTCCCAGTGGAGCATAGGACCGCAACAACACCTCGCCAACGGAAGGTGTTGTTGCAGTTACTTGTAGCAGGTTAGTTGCTAGCTCCGCGCCCAACCCACCTCCTTTCTCATCCTGGACTTGGGACCAGGCAAAGGCATGTTTTGGTGTGACGGGGATTCGAACCCGCGACCCTCAGATTGTGAGTCGAGCGCCTTATCCACCTGGCCATGCCGGGCACTATAAAAAATGTTAATGAAACGTGCAACTTTTTCTTCACTATCTTTGATTATAGGTTAGTTCGTATATATATATAGTTTTTTAAATTAGAAAGTACGACGATAGATATGTAGCAGGCAGCGATGTTAACTGCTCTACGATTTGGCGGGTATCGAAACCCGGTTTCTAGCGTTGTAAGTCCGCAGACATACCATTGTGCCACTGGGGGCAAGATTACAATGTGAAAGTAACGATAACAAATTTATTCCTTCCTTAACGTTTGCTTCAAGCTACTATCACTTGTATATAATTGTAAGCCTAAATTCACCATTAACGAGTAAAATTATGTTGAAAATTAAAACCTTATGTGTGAACTTGGCGAAATATCCAGAAATAAGATTAAATTATAAATACGATAATCTGAGCAACTTTAAGTTAGTGAAGCATTCAGATCAGTGTCAGTTATTGTGTGTATTTAGTTAATCGATCATTAACATTCCCAAACATTCTGGGTATTCTGGAACTAACTTTATAAATGTTCTAAATCTAGCGTCATCGTCATCATAGTTGTAGCTCCCTCTAGCAAATAACTAAATTATAACATTGAAAATATAGCTTATAACATGTTTGAGTATTGGAATAAATTATTATTTTGTTTATTTACTTCTACGTGCGAGATAGCAAATAAGGAACTTTTTAAACTTATTTTATATGAGTTTAATACCAAAACTTTAAATACGTACAAGTAATAGCCAAAATGAAAACCAAGTTGTTGTTTTTACTGTAATGCTTCAACAGGCGAAGCCAGATCCCTTAGTGAGTAATATATGTAACGCTATATCAAACCCATTTATCCGGTAAGTTATTTTTTCTCGATATTTCGATTACTAGAATTCTTAACAGGTGCTGTGTAATATATAATATACTTGGAAACCAACGGGCGGGACAGTAACTCGCTGCCACCAGAGGGCCTACTAAAGTTAGCATGAGCCATAATTCAAGCTGTGTTAAAGAGGGTTTTATTGGAATGCTAAATATTGTGATGCTCGATAACTATAGAACTCCACGTGGGTTTGATTTGCCTACAGGCCGAAGATGCTAAACGCTATAATGGAAGATTCTTACACTCAATAAGAGCCACACAATTTGTAAACTGTTGTGGTTTTAATACTGCTAAAGACAAAGCATGTGGACGTTACCTTTAAATTAATCCACTACTTGTTTTGTTTTCTTTTTGAATTTCGCGCAAAGCGAAATTCGAGGGCTATCTGCGCTAGCCGTCCCTAATTTAGCAGTGTAAGACTAGAGGGAAGGCAGCTAGCTAGTCATCACCACCCACCGCCAACTCTTGGGCTACTCTTTTACCAACGAATAGTGGGAATGACCGTCACATAATAACGCCCCCACGGCTGAAAGGGCGAGCATGTTTGGTGGTATGCGGATTCGAACCCGCGACCCTCAGATTGTGAGTCGAGCGCCTTATCCACCTGGCCATGCCGGGCTAATCCACTACTAAAGACAAACCATACATGCGGATAAACATGTAGTAAGAACCTTGATTACAGAAATTAGGAAAACAAAAGTAATTGTATGTTTCACAAATATTTCATTCATAACAGCCATGGTTTCGCCGATCTCCAGTAGCATAGTGGTAAGTCTGAAGACTTGTAACACTAGAAACAGGGTTTCGATACCCGTGATGGGAACAGTAAATATAGCGTATTTACAACAAACTGTTTCACCAATAAAGACATCAACAGGTGCAGTGCCTCTACTGGCGAAACCGTGGTCCTGATAATATTTGTGAAACATACAATTTTACTCAATTCTATAATTACGGATTTTCACCAAGTACTAACGGTTTCAAGTATTAATTATAAAAACAAAACTTGATGGTAATGTTACAGTATATCTAAGTTCACAACTGCGATACCTGTAAAACGTGTGCGAAGTTAAACACTTTTTCCTCGTAGTTTTAACGGGAATACAATTATCTCCAATTTGATGCGACACTACATGACGTTTCCCTGGTAACAAGGTGACGTGAAGAGCCTACAGAAACTTCTTCAAATTGGTGACTAAGCATACCTTAACAACGAAATGATCTCATAGTACACATCATTGTGATGTAGTTGTTTTTTGTAAGCCCCCCCCCCCTTAGGACAGGGGGAAGATTGGAGATTTTTAAAACTAGAAAAAG